AGACATGAAGAAGAGGATGTTGCACAATAGGTCCCCTTTAATGTATTCTTATTTTTGTACCAAATGTCTGTGTGTGTGTGTTTGTTTAAACATATAAAGAATACATGTATTTAAGTATATACAGTTTAGTGTAATAACTCACCAGCGCTGACTTCCCGACGCCTCCTGATCCCAACACCACCAGTTTGTATTCACGCATCCTGACTGTCTGTCTGCTGAGAGAGAGACAGGAGGACAGACAGGTTATCCATGTGTAGAAAACATGTCTCTCCTGTCAGAGACACAAAGTGAAAGCAGGACACACAATTCCTGAGAGCTTCAAGAAAACTGGATATTTTTGCAGCGTCAGGAATTATTCTCACAGAGCAGCGTTACAATAACACACCTGGAGCTGTAAAGCCATCCGTTACAAACACACACACACACACACACACGATCATTTCCTGTCTTACACTAAAAGGTCATAATTACCCAGAATGCATCAGGCTGCATGTGTGTTCATTGAAAACAGTGTGAGGTCATGTGATCACACACAGCTGGTGGTGATGTCACGACTGTGGAATCTTTCCTGGTTACTGTCGCTATGCGCCTGCATGTGTGTGTGTGTGTGTGTGTGTGTGTGTGTGTGTGTGTGTGTGTGTGTGTGTTTGCATACCAGTCATGCCTCACTGCGTGTTTGTCATGGCAGCAACAAGAAGCAACATGACACACAAACACACACTTCTAATTGTCTGTTAATACTGGTCTGCAAAGGTTACCATGGTAATGAGATAAGTGTGTGTGTGTGTCTAACCACTATTTATAGTGTGTTTTTGTTTACCCAGAATCCTCGGTTTTATCAGTGAGGGATCTGATCTTACTGTTTGTATTCCTAAGTGGAACAAGGGACTTTTATTTGGAATTTATGTTTTAACTTCCTTTCTTAAAGGTGGGGTAGGTAAGTTTGAGAATCCGGCTCGAGATACACTTGTTGTTATATTCCATGGAATGCTCTTCACATCCCGATAGCAATGAATATCTGAAGTGCTTTGACAACAAATCCATTAAAAAATATCATCTGTGGAAGCTGTGGTACTGTAAAAAGCACGACCAATCATCTGAGCCGGCCCGGCTAAAATAACTGGATGGCCTACCTGCCTGTCAGCCTTCCATCTGTGCACAGACTTATCTCGTGCCCTCATTGGTCATGTGCGCGTTCGTGTGTGTTGGAGGAGGGGCTCTGTGAGGAAGTGGCAGATTTTTTCCGGCTGTGTATTTTCAAATTCTAGCGATCTCGAGCTGGTTTCTCAAACTTACCTACCCCACCTTTAAGTGTCGTTTACTCCATTTTATGTTATAGGAAAATATTTTTCACTAAACTTATTTGTCCTGGTTATTTGTTGTTGTTCTACCGGGGAAAACAATCGGAACAAATAAATAATTTTTTATAATTTAGTATTTTTCTCAGATATTTTCCTCAACAGCAACTTTTTACAGGACTTCTCAAAGTGAAATCCTGCTGTTGAGCACGGTGGAGTTTAATCTGTCCAGGTGTCAGTGAACGCATCACGAGAGGTGCATTTTAGGGCCTAGAGGTCTGAACGCTTCCCACAAGTCAGGACGAGTTCAAGGAATCGCAGGAAGTCACAAAACTGAAGCAGAAAGTGAAAAATGAAACCTCCTCCTGAGAGAATCTGGATATTCCCTCACAGCTCATGAACTCAACCAATAATGACTCACAGTCAAAGTCAAAGTCAAAATGAATGTAAAAGAGGCCCAATTCTGCTTTTCGTGGTGTTCCCTCCTGTAGTGTGTTCTATAGGTTTTCTGTGCATGTAAAGGGTCTGAAAAGGTCGAAAATCCCAAAATTCCGGAACACAGTGACATCACTTTGGAAACCTCACACTCCTATTGGCTAGCGCTCCAACACATTGTACGTGATCGGCTAAGGGGCGGGACATCTCTAAGCAGGTTGACCAATCACAACAGAGCCGGCCAGCTAACCAATCAGAGCAGACTGGGCTCTGGTTTCAGACAGAGGGTGAAAAGAGGTGCTGCAGCTTTCTGAACATTAAAGCATGGAGACATGAAGAGACACTACATACTGATATACACCTGAACATCAGCAGGAGAGGACTCTTTAAAGTAGAGACACTACATACTGATATACACCTGAACATCAGCAGGAGAGGACTCTTTAAAGTAGAGACACTACATACTGATATACACCTGAACATCAGCAGGAGAGGACTCTTTAAAGTAGAGACACTACATACTGATATACACCTGAACATCAGCAGGAGAGGACTCTTTAAAGTAGAGACACTACATACTGATATACACCTGAACATCAGCAGGAGAGGACTCTTTAAAGTAGAGACACTACATACTGATATACACCTGAACATCAGCAGGAGAGGACTCTTTAAAGTAGAGACACTACATACTGATATACACCTGAACATCAGCAGGAGAGGACTCTTTAAAGTAGAGACACTACATACTGATGTACACCTGAACATCAGCAGGAGAGGACTCTTTAAAGTAGAGACACTACATACTGATATACACCTGAACATCAGCAGGAGAGGACTCTTTAAAGTAGAGACACTACATACTGATATACACCTGAACATCAGCAGGAGAGGACTCTTTAAAGTAGAGACACTACATACTGATATACACCTGAACATCAGCAGGAGAGGACTCTTTAAAGTAGAGACACTACATACTGATATACACCTGAACATCAGCAGGAGAGGACTCTTTAAAGTAGAGACACTACATACTGATATACACCTGAACATCAGCAGGAGAGGACTCTTTAAAGTAGAGACACTACATACTGATATACACCTGAACATCAGCAGGAGAGGACTCTTTAAAGTAGAGACACTACATACTGATGTACACCTGAACATCAGCAGGAGAGGACTCTTTAAAGTAGAGACACTACATACTGATATACACCTGAACATCAGCAGGAGAGGACTCTTTAAAGTAGAGACACTACATACTGATATACACCTGAACATCAGCAGGAGAGGACTCTTTAAAGTAGAGACACTACATACTGATATATACCTGAACATCAGCAGGAGAGAACTCTTTAAAGTAGAGACACTACATACTGATATACACCTGAACATCAGCAGGAGAGGACTCTTTAAAGTAGAGACACTACATACTGATATATACCTGAACATCAGCAGGAGAGAACTCTTTAAAGTAGAGACACTACATACTGATATACACCTGAACATCAGCAGGAGAGAACTCTTTAAAGTAGAGACACTACATACTGACTGAACTTTAATGGATATAATAGTTTAAATATAGGCAAATTGTGTTAAACTAAAACTTGACATTAAATATGGCAAATAATGGGCCTAATTTTCAAAATAAGATACATGCACAACATGATTGATTAGTCAGATGTAGAACATTTATTAGCAACAATGCCAAAATATTCTCTGTTAATATAATTTAGAATTTGACTATTTTCTGCTTTTGTTTGACATGAAGGAAAGCTGAATATTTTAGGGTTTTAGAAAAAGTGTTCACACAAAACAAGACCTTTTAGGAAGTCATCTTGGCTCTTTTATTGGTTTTGGGATATATCATGGACTAAAAAAGCAGTCAGGGTAATAAAGATGTCAATACATGTTGAACAAACAACCCATTAATCAACTTCTGTTTCCAAACGAGACAGAGAACAGGGTGTTTGTTTCACACATCCCTCCACCCTGACGAGACTTTGTAGAATAGATATATATTTCAGTGGTGTGAAATGACGCCCGCATGAATAAGAGCGTAGTTATAACGTGGCAAAAATAGTCATTACTGATACGCAGTTTGGTGATACCAGGCTGAATGCACACGTTGAAAACATAACTTAACATAAATGAGTGCATGTGAAATAAGGAATAAAACAGACAAAGAGGTCCAAGTGCAAATGAATGAACTGAGTGCAAACAGGGATGTAGTCAATATATAAGCATAGTAATCAATATGTACATACAGGATGTCTAAACTGTTTGTAAAAGTATTTAAAAAAAGATCAAGTCTGTAGTGTTGCTTTCTCCAACAGGCACCAAATGCAGCATGATGTTTTAATCTACTAAAGTAAAGTTGTTGGACAAAGATGGACACACACACACACACACACACACTGATCCCTGAGTCAACCAGAACTAGGTGGGGCCTGTCAATACTCTGTGTGTGTATGTGTATGTGTATGTGTATGTGTGTGTGTGTGTGTGTGTGTGTGTGTGTGTGTGTGTGTGTGTGTGTGTGTGTGTGTGTGTGTTGCTGACAGTACAACAGCAGAGGAATAAAACCAAGCCTTGTCTTTACACTACAGTCAGACAGACAGACAGACAGACAGGCCTAGAGAAAGAGAGACAGACAGGTTCCTCCAAACTCCTCATTGTGCAATAAGTTACTTCCTCTCTCTCTCTCTCTCTTTTTTTTTTTTCTTTCCTCCAGCAGATCAGCGGGAGCTCCGCAGCTCTGTATCCGCCTCAGAACGCTCCCTCCCCGGACACCTCGGGCGCCAGGCCCCGCTGCCCCGCTGGAGGAAAGAGACCAACTGCCGAGATGGAACGTTCCGATTTTTTGAACGGCGGGCAGGAGAAACAATCCGCCGCCATGTTTGAACCTCCACTGTCTGTCTGTCTGTGAGTCGGTTAATATGAACAGTATTATGATTAACGGAGCTCCTGTCTGTCTGCCTGTCTGTCCGCCGGTCGCTTCCGCAAACCCAGCCCCGTTCGGCCGGGACTCGAACCCGCGCCCCGCCTGACTCTCTGCTCCCGGGTTAGAGCTACACATGCTTAATGAAGGGGAGATATAAAGGGAAAAAGGCGTAAAGAAGGTAAAGACAGAGAAGTTACTCACAGTCATCCACCGTCCGCTGCTCTCTCTCTCTTTCTGTTCCACACTCTGTGTCTATGTCGCTCTCCCAGAGCCGCTCCCTCCTGCCGCTGCGTGCTGACGTCAAGCTCCACGCACTGAACGTGAACCACTTCCGGTTGTTTCTCTCAAAATAACACAAATACTATGGAAAACGGCTCATTATTGTAATACAGATTTAGGAAAAGTTTTACATTATTTTAAAGGATATAAATTATTTTTAATCAAGGTAATAATAAATGAACAAAAGCATGTTAATATGATGTAGTTATAAAACCATAAAAGTCTCGAAAAAACATTAAATCATTATTTAAATTATTTGATTGTGTTCTTTTCACTGGCTACTGTTTTATTTTGTATTCAAATGTATGTGTCCTATTAGTGTACAGTATAAGTATAATAAAAAGTTAAAAACCCATAAAGTTGTAACATAAGTACTGTAGTGCCGAGAGAAGGGAGTCGGAGGCGGTGCATCGAAGGTGCAAATCTGGCTTTAATGAGCGACAGAAATGGACATGCTGTCGGGTCGCAGCCCGGGAAGAGAAGAGAAAGCGAAAGGGAGGACACACAGTAGGTACACAGTAGGTACCGTCAACATATGTGTCCGTGCGGAAACAATACCCCCAACCTGTAGTTCCATGAGTGAATTATGTAACCCAGTTAATTAGTGATCACTACACAAGCCCCCCCAGAATTCAACCATGGACACAATCCTTGCGTCCGGGAGGAAGCACCACAGGAGCCGAGGAGGGCAGGGCCGCCGGCGAGGGCCGGGCCATGGAACGGGCCGTCGGAAGGGGGCCGCAGGAGAGGGTAGGGGCCCCAACGAGGGCGAGGGCACCCCCACCAGGGGGTGGGGGGGCGGGCCGGAACGGGCCGTCGTCAGGGGGCCGCAGAAAGCAGGGTCGCTGTGTTGCGACGTGGGGACAGGCGTGAATATCCCGGTGGTCCCCAGCAGGGAGGAGCGCTGCCCGGCCGCAGGCGAAGGCACAGCGGCGGCGGGTACGAAGTCCTCGGGAGGAAGGAGCCGTGTCCCCGGGAGGAGGGAGCCGTGGACAGGGGAGAGGCCAGACGGGGCGCCGTCCGAAGCCGCCGTCGAGGCGAACCGTGAGCCGCGGTTAGAGGTGAGGCCAGGCAGGGTCCCGAAGCACGCCACCCACGGGCCGTTGAAGGCATGGGCGACGTCCAGAACCGCCGAGGCGAGGGAAGAGGCCAGACAGGGTCCCGAAGCGCGCCACCCACGGGCCGATGAAGGCATGGGCGACGTCCGAAACCGTAGAGTCGAGGCGAGACGGGGTCCAGAAGCGCGCCACCCACGGGCCGAAGAAGGCATGGGCGACGTCCGAAGCCGCCGTCGAGGTGGTGAAAAAGCGAGAGGGTCCACACGAGGCCGACCAGACATGGTCGAACCTCCTCTCAGGCACCAGAAAAAAACTCAAAAGGGTCGTCCTGTCCACGAACAAAAACAGGTGGGCGAAATAGCGAGAGGATCCACACGAGGCCGACCAGACATGATCGAACCTCCTCTCCGGCACCACAAAAAAAACAGTCGGATGGCGATAGCTGCTAGCTGTCATGGCTAGCTGTCGTTAGCCGTTGGTAGCTGCTAGCCGTTAGCAGTCGTGGCTAGCCGTTAGCGAGCGCAGCCGGACATGCAGCCGCATGTCCCGAATAAACCAGGCATGGTCGTGTATCGGCTCCATGGAAGGCCTGCTGTCCCCCAGTGCCGAAAAGCCGTGGAAATGGCGAGCGTCATCCGCGGCCATTCCGGAGGGCGCACCGAGCCACAGTCCGTGTGCACGTGGCAGCCACGGACGTCTCCAAAAATCTCCGGCATTCCGAGAAAAACAGTGTTTTTTGCCGTGTTCGGTTCAGTCTCGGATCCTTTGCGAGACTTATGTCAGGGTCACCAATGTAGTGCCGAGAGAAGGGAGTCGGAGGCGGTGCATCGAAGGTGCAAATCTGGCTTTAATGAGCGATAGAAATGGACATGCTGTCGGGTCGCAGCCCGGGAAGAGAAGAGAAAGCGAAAGGGAGGACACACAGTAGGTACACAGTAGGTACCGTCAACATATGTGTCCGTGCGGAAACAATACCCCCAACCTGTAGTTCCATGAGTGAATTATGTAACCCAGTTAATTAGTGATCACTACAGTACCAATATTATGCTTTTACTTTGAAGGCTGCCCCCGCTTACTTCCGGCTTTCTTTAACTTCGTCACATTTTCGCTCTTTTTTTTTCTTGTGACGTTTTCTCAGCTGCTTCCCGCTTCCTGCTACATATCTTTATTTTACTTTGATTACATATTAACAGATAGTCACATTTTCGAAGTAGTACCCAAATATTTCACTTAAAGGGGAGCTATCATGCAAAATGCACTTTTTGATGTCTTCTCTACATCAACATGTGTCCCCGGTGTGTCAGGGAACTCACGCAGCGTCAGAAAATAAAACCCTCTCTCTTTTCCTCCGTACCCAAATCTCTAAAAACGGGGGAACAACGGAGCTGATCCAGATGTGCGTCCGATATGACGTAATATCTGAAATGTGGACCCACGGCCCTATCAGAAACGTTGCTATCAGAAACAATGCCCGACTGTTTTGGACGTAATATGGTCGGTGTTTACATTAGCATGGCTAACACTCAGAGCTAACCTGTACTGGAGAGCATGTGTGTGAAGAAGCAGGAAATAAAAAGGAACTCACCTTGTGGTATAACCGGCAAGAGAGAAAGCCTTTGAGCTCCATACTGTTTCAGAAACAATCCTTGATAATCCATGATATGGCGTTTCATCACCGCAGTATTTAGTTTAGACAGTAGCTGCCGGGTCCCGCATGAGCTCAGACCCCTCCTTTTTCATTTTTAAAGCTTTATCCCCCAAATCAGCACTTTAGAAACAGGAAGTGAAACAGAGGGATATGAGGCATGGCTAGAATGGGTGATCTGTTTGGTGTTTTGAGCAAAACACTTCATAGACATGTTTTTTATATATTTGTATATATCTGAGACCTATGCTATTGCCTACAAATAGCATGAGAGGTGACCTTTAAGTATTTTTATTTATACTGATCAATTGGCAATTTTTACTCCATTAAATCCCAATCCATCATTTTTGGCTGACAGCTTTATTTACTTTTATATAAACAAACATATGATTATCTTACAGAATGTTATGTAGGTTAAACCACCCAACAGTATATAAAGAGTAAACATTAGCAACCTCCTTAAACATGTAGTCTACACTCTACAGAGGTAAAACATTTTAAATGTCCGGATAGTGTCCATAATTTGACTCTATATCTTCTAAAGTTCAACAAGTTGGTGACATTTATTGGTATTTCATGTTAAATATTATAACATACTATATATTATTTTTATGTATGAGGGGAAAGTGTTTCTTAAAGTGTGAAAACCACCAAAAATACCTCAAAAACTGGTTTGAAAAAAATCAGAGAATTGTGTAAAAATTCAAGCAATTGGTGAAAAATGTCCAATTTTATTTTATTCATATTAAATGTTATTGTTTATTGTAATAGAGTATGTTCCCACTGTGTTATACGTACTTAATGGATCTAAAATACTTGTAAAAAAAAGTTTATGACTACATTTTAACAAGCCTCTATAGTGTCAACATGATCATGTGACCCTCATGACGGAGGTCACCAGAGAAAACCTGAACATTAAAACCACAGTGTGTGTGTGTGTGTGTGTGTGTGTGTGTGTGTGTGTGTGTGTGTGTGTGTGTGTGTGTGTGTGTGTGTGTGTGTGTGTGTTACAGCAGTCAGAGAGCATTTGAGCATGTCGCAGCAAGTTCATGGGAACACGCCTTCACACGCACACACACACACACTGTTTACTACTGTGTGTGAACCCCACCCTAACAGGAAGCAGTCACCGAGAATATTTGCTCCCCCCCCAACCAACTTCCCGTTCTCTGACACACACTTCCTCTTTTTGTGTGTGTGTGTGTGTGTGTGTGTGTGTGTGTGTGTGTGTGTGTGTGTGTGTGTGTGTGTGTGACGTATGTGTGTGTGTGTGTGTGTGTGTGTGTTCAGGTGAAAGTACATCACTCTGTGAGGAAAGGTCATGCATTAAACTTTAATTATAGTTAAAGGTGGGGTAGGTAAGTTTGAGAAACCGGCTCGAGATACACTTTTTGTTATATTCCATGGAATGCTCTTAACATCCCGATAGCAATGAATATCTGAAGTGCTTTGACAAGAAATCCATTAAAAAATATCATCTGTGGAAGCTGTAGTACTGTAAAAAGCACGACCAATCATTTTAGAATGATTGGATGGCCTACCTGCCTGTCAGCCTTCCATCTGTGCACAAACTTATCTCGTGCCCTCATTGGTCATGTGCGCGTTCGTGTGTGTTGGAGGAGGGGCTCTGTAAGGAAGTGGCAGATTTTCTCCGGTTGTGAATTTTCAAATTCTAGCGATCTCGAGCCGGTTTCTCAAACTTACCTACCCCACCTTTAATTTACCAAGAAAATGAAGTGAAAGTATGAAACATAAAGTCATCTGGTTGAAACGTTTAAAAAACAGTACACGTTGAGATGAGATCAAACTCTTACATTTAAGGTAAACAATGAGTCAAAAGGTGGTGTTTGTTCAGTAACACTGAGTGTATTCACACACCAGTACCCAGAAAATACACCACTTTATAAATTGTCTTCACCTATATGTGCTCATAAGTGACTAATTGAAAAATACATTAAAAAAATAAAATAAATCCTCGTCAAAAAAGAATAAAACGACCAATAAATCGGCTGAAAAGAGTCGTCTCTAATATTCAAATGAAAGTTTTTGTGTAAACCATAGACTGTATATATAAAGCTGTAAACGCATCAATTCTTTCAAAAATAAAAGTGACATTTTTCCTGATCATTTTGGAGAACAAAGCAAGAAAGGGGAGCTGCAGATTCTCCTCTCACCTCATCTTGTCCATCCGTCAGGAGATACAGTTTTCTTCAGAGGCCCTCAGAATACATTAGTGAACTTCAAAGAGAGGAATCAGCATGTCAATGATGAAACAAACTCATCCATGCAGACGCTGCTAGGAGACGAGATGAAGGAGGAGCGCTCGATTTGTTCGAGCTGC